ACCATGTTCAAGTCCCTTCTCACCACGGGGCTTTTGGCTGCGGCTGCCGTAGCCCAGCAGACAACCTCATATGTCGACTCCGCAACTGGCATCACCTTCCAGAGATACACCGAGACCTCTGGATTTTCGTTCGGTGTTGCTCTGCCTTCGACTGTTGGCAAGGACTTTATCGGCCAGATCTCTGCTCCCATCACCGCGGGATGGGCCTCCGTCTCTCTGGGCGGTCCCATGACCAACAAGCTTCTTGTTGTTGCGTGGCCTAACGGAGACTCTATCCAGACTTCCATCCGCAAGGCGTCAGGATACTCGAACCCCGACGTTGTGACGGATTCCGGTATCACTCTCAAGCCTATTGAGTCTGGCACCTCCGTCAACGCCACTGCCTTCACTTACACCTTTGTATGCGAGGGATGCATCACCGGTGACACGACCACCTTCACTGGCACTTCTGATACCACCACCTTTGGCTGGGCTTACTCGACCACTGCCCTGTCCGACACCACGAGCGCCTCCGTCGCTCTCAACTACCACGGTGCTGGATTTGGTCTTTTCGGTGCAAACCTCGCCTCTGCCAAGTCCGCCGATTACGCGACCTGGGCTGCGAAGGCTTCCGATGCCGTCTCCACTCCCGGCACAGGCAACGGAACCTCCCCGTCCGTCCCCGCTAACATCACGACCACGATTTCCAACACTACCTACGATTACATCGTCGCCGGTGGCGGCGCCGCTGGTCTTATTGTTGCCGAGCGTCTGGCCGAGTCCGGAAAGAGCGTCCTTCTCCTTGAGCGCGGAGGACCTTCTTTGGCGTCCAGCGGTGGCAAGGCTACCGTCGACTGGAACAGCACTGTCACCCAGTACGACGTCCCTGCCATGGGCTACTACCTCTCGACCGCCAAGGAGACCAGCGAGTACTGCACGGACACCGCTTCCCAGGCTGGCTGCATTCTCGGCGGCTCTACCATGGTCAATGCCATGATGTGGGTTAAGCCTCCCGCTCACGACTTCGACGACAAGTGGCCCACGGGCTGGAAGTGGAGCAGCGTTGAGGAGTCTGCCAACAAGCTCTACGAGCGAACCCCAGGAACCATCCTCGCCAGCAAGGACGGAAAGCGTTACGACCAGGGCGCCTACGATATCATGTCCCAGTGGCTGGCCGGCAATGGCTTCAGCGAGGTTGACGCTCTTGCCGAGCCCGATAAGAAGGAGGCAGTCTTCACCCACCCTCCTTGGTTGATTGAGAACGGTATGCGTGGCGGTCCTGTCCGTGACTACCTGCCTCTTGCCCAGGCTTTGCCCAACTTCAAGCTGCAGCTTAACGCCAAGGTCATCCGTGCCATCCGCAACGGTACCACCATCTCTGGTGTCGAGATTGAGACTGCTACCAACGTTCGCCAGATCATCAACCTGAAGTCCGGCGGCGCCGCCATCCTGGCTGCTGGTGCTCTCTCTTCCCCTCGTATCTTGTTCAACAGCGGTATTGGCCCCAAGGAGCAGATCCAGACTGTTCAGAACGGAACCGCTCAGGTCACCCTCCCCGCTGAGGCCCAATGGATCAACCTCCCCGTCGGCCAGAACCTCAAGGACCACCCCATCTTCACAGTCAACTTCAAGACCAAGTCCACCCTTAACTCTCTGGCCAGCACTGCATTCACCGCCCCTAGCCAGACCGACGTTGACCAGTTCGCTCAGGGATCCGGACTTCTGAGCCAGGCTGGACAGCGCCTGAACTTCTGGACCAGTGTCGAGGGCTCTGATGGTGGCAAGAGATACGTCCAGGGCACTGTCAACTCTCCTGCCAACGACACTATCCGCGTCAAGGTCTACCTCACCCACGGTCTCACCTCCGTCGGCGCTCTCGGCATTTCTGCCGACGGCTCCACCAAGCTCACCACCGAACCCTACCTTACCACTACTGAGGATAAGGAGGCTATCACCAGCTTCATGAACCAGCTTATCCAGTACGCCTCCAAGTCCAACAGCACCCTGACTCTGTCCGGCAACGTCACCGCCGAGAGTCTCATCTCCGAGCATACCACCGGTAGCCACTTTGTCGGCAGCGCTGTCATGGGCTCCACCAACGACGGAAACAGTGTCGTCGATACCAAGACCAAGGTCTGGGGCACTGATAACCTCTATGTCGTCGATGCCTCCATTCACCCTGACTTGCCCACTGGTAACACCCAGGCTATTGTCATGGTTGCGGCCGAGCACGCTGCTGCCCAGATCCTTGGAGGAGCTGGTAGCGCTACCAACTCTGGCTCTGATTCTAGCTCCGGTTCCGGTTCTGGTTCCGGCTCCGGCTCCGGCTCCGGGTCTGGCTCCGGGTCTGGCTCTGGCTCGACTGGTTGCAAGCGTTCTGTCAAGCGCCTCGAACGCCTTCAGCGTTTCCGTCGCGCTCACCACAGCTTCTAAATATGTGGATATGCTCTTTTATGTGTATACTTCTAAGTGTGGAAACTTGCCATTTGTATATAAAAGTAAACAGTACCAAGACTTGATTTCAGCAAAGTACTCTTGCCATTGTTGATTCCTTTCCGCTTTGCATAGACAAATTATGTAGCTTGATGGGAAGATGATGTGTAGCTGCCAGATTGTAAACTTTGGTGAACACGACTGATGTTGATGACTAAACCCACGTCCGTGGGAAAGAAGAAGGAAAATAAGAAAAGATGACACATACTTCTTAGATCAATCGCTCCTTTCTGAGCAATAATCTTACATCACCAAACAGGGCTCTTAAACCAAACAAGGCTGATGTGAAATCTAATTATACACCAGTGTGGTAAAGTTATACGTAAGGCGTGTTCAGAATAGTTGACGCTTCGACCTGTGCGATTATTGATAAAGCGAAAATACCTGTGGCACACGGTGACTCTTTGGGAATGTCGATTGGCAAATTTGCTTGTTTTGAAGGTGGCTACTTAGATTTACCAAGCTTACTTGTACCGGGCGGGCTGTGACTATGTATAAGTGTAGACCAGTTTGTGAGAGAGAAGAGACGAGAAAACGGTGTGCCTTAAGTGAGAGGCTAGGAAAGTTAGAGGTCCCCGAGTCCACAATAACGAAGCATCGTATGTATCTTGGCAGTGTTCGGAACAGGTGCTCCCTTTACTTATCTTCGTGATTTGCACGATTATTGATGATAGTATTGGTCGAGGCCTGCATATGTAGATAGGTTTTATGACAGTGATGAGTGATTTGAGCCGTCTATCTATTGCGCTCGTCTAAACTAAATAGCCGCAAAGAACATCTGTATTCCCGGGTTTCGACTAACTAATCTTGGTACTGTTTGCGGTTCTTTTGGGCACAAACACTGCTTCTAGCGTCTTTCCGGGATCTGGTGATTTGCTAAGGCTTCAGCTTCCGCTAAAGGCATGTTCGGGATGTTTGGCCGTAAGTCAAAGATCGATGGCAGAGATGGGCGAGCGGCCTGATAAGTGCGATGGCCTTCTTGAAAGTTGATTCAACCTACCAAGCGGATCCATTTACGCGAACGGCCATAGCATTGCTGAACTAAATCTCCGGTGGTTGCGTGGGAGAAACGGTCTCGTTCAGGAATGGCGAAAGCTCTTTAGTTCAATAATGTAGTCCACGGGCTATACGAAACTTCTATGAACGATTTCCCCGAACCTGGGAAGAGAGAACCCATCCGGCAAGCCTACCTCCAGACGCTTCGAGATGCGTGCTCGTATCCGGGAGAAAGTCAGTCATCTGGAAAAGGAGCAGCCGTTCCGCTGGAAACCATTTTCTACCAAACTGCGGACGAATGTCTCAAGGCGGCGTAGACACTATGGGGCCAATAGGTAACGTATTCGCGTTGGCCGTTGAGTCTCACATGATACCTGCGGGTTGCCGCGTCCCTGTGGAGCATTGTTTCGTATTTGGGGGCATGCAACATAGGTAGATGAATATAGTTTATTACGCCCGGAAAAGAATCTTCACAGCGGATTGCTACGTTAGATTGTCTACGTCTCTGTTACTGTCGTTCCGACCGGCTAAGTCCTGAAGAAGATCAAGCTTGGCGGGTGGGACATGCAAGGATGGGACCGAGCATACCAATCACGACAAAGGATCGATGATAAAACCAGTTAGACATGGCCTCAGAGTAGAGGTCCCACACGCTTCGCTTCCAGAAGGCAAACATGTAAGACTGAACTCACTCGTGTGTTACGAGCGACGGTGCCCAACGGAGGTGACAAGCATCCACGTACGGCCTACGGACTCGGAGGTCGGAAGTTTCCCAAGACCAATGCTGAGTACTTTGCTAGAGAGACTCCAGTACATGCTTCAAGCAACTAAAAACATCAAGATCCCTGCTTAAGCAGTGCGTCCCAAATCCCATCGGAAAGCCTAGGAAGCTCTCGGTACAGCCATTCCCACACAAATCGTTATTATTCATGGATCCAAGTAGCATTAGGTATCAAGGTCCAGTCGTGTTTGGCATATTCTGCCTGTACCCTCTTTCTCTGAGCTTGATTATAAAGCCTTCTTCAACAATTCCAGTGTTCTGGGCATTAATTATAGTCTACCACAGTATTTCTCTGTGGTGTTCATCGGGTGCTAAATAACAATAAAACAACCACGCATTCTTCTCTATATTTGGTCTCTATTGTTAAGTTATAACCATGGAACTGATACTTTATTCTATTCCGCGCTTACTCAGTTTAACAGGGCCTCGCTCGCTTACTAGCAGAGGCGCAGCTTGCGGCCTGCTGGCTTGCTTACATCTAGCGCTTACACGTGCTACCATTGAACCAAGCTTTGAAAAGAAACTAAAGCTTGGCGTGAAGGAACCTCTCCGTAGGATGTTACTCAACTTTTTCCGTAGGACACGGAGAAACTTCAGAAAGTTCATGATAATACAAGTCTAAGAGTATATAAAGGACATTCTGATCACTGTTTATAACTCCTAACAACTCCATCTCATCCCTCTTCATAAGTCTCTTGCCCCAGAACAACAACTTTGCCACTTTCACAAGGATTCTACTTCTTTACCCACAATGAAGATCACTCTATTCGCTGTCACTCTTCTTGCTTCGCTGGTATCCGCCAGAGAATTCGTTTTGTTTGATGATGCCAACTACAATGGTGCTTCTCATAGGGAGATACGCAATACCGATGGCGCCTGCTGTAAGTAGTGTCAATTATCAAATTCACCAACTCCATGCTCAAGAACAATATAGGGAATCTCAACGGCAAAGGCGATCGAGCAAGTTCCGTCGGAGGTGATGGAGGATGTACTACTTTCTTCCGGTGAGAAACCTCTTCGTCTCTCTACTCACATGGCTTACCTGTTGACATAATATCAGAGAGCGTGACTGCAGGGGATCCAGCTGGCAGCAGCGCGGTTCTGCACCCACTGTTCCAGGTTTCCTTAATGACCACATCTGGTCATTCCGCAACCAATGCTAATTGGTCGTCACGTCAATTCTGGAAACAGATCTGGGCTACTTGTCCTTGTTGATTCTTCCACGAGGATCACCAAGCATCTGGCATACGAATACAGAAATATCTCTGGTCATAAGAATCGAAGAGGGAAGGAAATGCATGTTCTGAGTCATTTCATGTCTCCAGCTTCGCACAAGTCTGTTGCGATTAGTGTTACCAACAAAGCACGTTGTCAGCTGCCTGTAACGCAAGAACCACAGCTTATACTACGTCCATCGGACTTTAAGCCAGCACTCATCACATGTCAATAAACAACTTTGAACCGGGAGGCATGCGTTGCAGCTTCAGCATTATAAGATTGTGATCCATCGCTTGTTTGAGACATTGATTCGTCAAAGTCCTTGTTTCTGAAGCTCGATAGATTCATTTAACTTATTCAAAACATTGAAGATGGCCTGGTTGGGCGAGTATGCGCGCTCACAGCCCGCCGAAAAATATCCTTCTTGACATAATCTGTTGTCAATTACTTGTGTATGAATACCTGGAGGTTCCGAAGTGGCAATAGACATTTGCCTGCTTAGTTTCTTTATTCAAAGATCTGGACCTGAGAATCTCCATGGTTCTCTTCCCCAAGTTATACCACGGGTAGAAGCCGCCTGTGTGTTGATGCTCGTCGCGATGGGCGACTCGGAAACGTGTAAGAAAGTAGAGATGAGAATTCGTCGGTTGTACTGCTTGTCCCCAAGATTGGGTTCGAGGTATTTAGTGGACTTCTATTTACGGATTTATCTTTTCGTGGGCAAAGCTCAAGTCAGACGCAAAGACTAAATATCTCTAGCCCCCCTTAAACTTCCAGAAATTTCTCAATGAGGAGGATGTCGAACTGTTAGCCCGGTCGCGATGTATAATGGTAGAGGAATTGGTTTGAGATGTGTCAAGAATGTGTAAAGGCCCCCTTCTGTCTCTGCTGTGACAAACGACTTCTGCCTCGAGTCCTATACTTCTTCTATGCCCTCTTGAAACCGCACATGGCGACAATTTCTCTCAATCCGGCCACGGATATGGCTGGTCGCCAGATCGTGCGCCCATGGACGTAGCGCAGCTAAAACGTACCTACCCAATCGCCCAACAACATCACTCCGTCAACACCCGCCGCACCCACTCCAGCTTTGTCGCGATAGACCGGCGTCCCAACCACGAATCTGGTGCCATCTCGTCAAACCCGTGGAAGCCGCCCGCCCACACGTGTAACTCTGCCGAGACCCCGGCCGACCAGAGCCGCGACGCGAACTCCACTGCTTCATCACGGCAGAACTCGGCGGAGCCCGCCTCAATGTACGCGGGTGGTAACCCCACTAGTGTCTCGGCCCGCGTAGGCGCCCAGTATGAGCTTATAGTGTCGCCGGCCCGGGTCCGGGCCCCGGCGCGCTCGCCCAGCGCGATGGCCCACGCCGCCGCGTTCTTAGTCCGGTCCCATGGCTCTACGCCGTCATCGAACTGCGCGCAGCTGATGGAATTGCAGCGGTCGTCGAGCATTGGGCAAGGCAGCATCTGCGCGTGTACCGGAGGGTTAAGCCCCGCGTCGCGCGCCCGCAGCGCGAGCCCGGCCGCCAGCCCGCTGCCTGCCGACTGCCCGGCCACCAGGATGCGCGCAGCGTTAATACCTAGTACGCCTGCTGACGCCTGGACCCATTTCAGTGCCGCGAAGCAGTCATCCGACGCTGCTGGCTGCGGGTGCTCCGGCGCGCGGCGGTACTCGACGCTTATGAGCACGGCGCCTGCGGCCACAGCCCAGTCCAGCGGCTGCGAGAGTCCGACGAGGCGGTGGAGGAAAATTAGGCCACCGCCATGCGCGTATAAGATGCAGGGCCACTGCTTCTTATCACTCACTGAGGCCGAATTGGGCGTGAAGATGGAGAGCGCGATGGGAGGGTCATTCAGGCCAAGGCCGGGGGCCGTGTGCTCGGCGTACGTGAGGGGCCGGTCGCCTATAGCTTCTGCGGCGGCGATGTGCGGGGCTTCTAAGGCACGGTCGGTGCGGGCGTGGTGATTGATGACGAACTCTGGAGTAATGGGGCCGAACGGCTCAAAGGCAGCTTGGATGGGCGCGAGCTCCGAGTCAAAAGGGGGTCGGGGGAGCCGCATGATAATGCGTATTTTATGGGGGGGAGAGGGATGTGGTAGGATGGAAAGAGAGTGTGTAAGTGAGCTGCGAGTATGCGTACCTCATAGATTGGTTCAGGAGAGAGGAGAGGCAACGGGACAATTTAAGTGAGGAACTTGGAACCGCAGTGATCAAGATGGATAACGAGAATGTCCCTAGATGCTTGACGACGAGGCAACGTCTGTATCTTGGCGGCATTCGTAGCAGATACTGTCTTTGCGAATCCTTCACAACAGGCGACGTGGAGTTGCCGGTGATGGTGACAGTGGTCGAGATCGATCTATGTAGGCAAGTACATGCGAGCGGCGAGTGACAGGGGCCGCTAATTCATCTCGCTCATCCGAGCTGGACAGCAGCAGGGGATCTCTGCAGTCCGAAGATCCGTTTAGAAATACCCCTCTTGGGGCGTATTTCCATGAATGTTCTCACAGTGAACGGCACCGTGTACTATCAGGACCCCGTTCTGATGCAGTCATGCAGTCTATCCTGGTCTGACCTACTGTAGTAAGGTGGAGGCGAAATGGACATTCCTAGTTGAGGAAGAGGAGTGGAGGAGGGGTGTGAGTTGTGTTGGACAACCAGACTCAACCCCGGCGTGTCAAATTGGACTGTCCGCAATTGAAAGCACTCACAATTGGATTTTCCATGAAGTTGATGAGAATACATCAGCAGTAAGCCACAGGCCAGCGACGACTCCAAGTATAGAGATTGGCAGACCGCAGTTAAATACTAGGCATATTGATTGATTGATTCATTCATTCGATTTACCTTACTTCGCTGAACAACATCCAGATTGCCCTTCTTACCTTACTTTTGAGCCAAGGGACTTTCTTTCTTCTCTCTATCTGACACATTTTCTCCCAAGAATTTACTTATAATTCCCAGGGATGTCCTTACCCCCTATTCCCCGGCTTGATCCTGCTTCCTTTCGCTGGCACCCGTCGCCTGATGATCCCCGAGCCGTACGGCGCCTTGGGCTCGGCACCGAAGCTTGGGTTGGCCTGCGCGGCCCCAACTCCCGCGGGCAATATGACAACTACCTCAATACTACTCTCCGTATCGAAGCTGCCGACCTTTCCTTGGCCGGCCTTGCGCGGCATCTCGCGGATGCGCTGGTTCATCTCCGGTTTCACCACCCCGAGGTCGCTTGCACCACCGCCTGGGCCTCCGAGTACGGACCCCCGCACATCATCTATACCCCTCCGATGTGCGACGCCGAAGCCTTACGATGGGCGCGGGCCGCCGTTACCGCAAGATCCACGTCCCAGACCGGGCTGCAGGTCGCGGCCCAGATCGGCAAGCAGCGCCAGATCGATCTGGCCAAGTCTCTCCCGCCCGTGACGCTCGTCGTGGTGGCTGACGTGCAGAACGAGGAGGCGTTGCTGGCAGCCGGTGCACGCGTGGACGTTCTCGGCGTCTTCAATCACATCCACTGGGATAGCATCAGCGCGCGTGTTTTCGTGGGGGACCTGCTGCGCCGCCTTGGAGAGCAGCTATGTGCCAGTAAGGCAGAGACGGCGTCGTCGCAGTACGCGTGGGGTAGCGAGATCGCGAACCTGAACGTGCCCGTACTCGATGCGTGCAAGGTTGATGTCGGCGCTTTAGGCGAGGACTACAAAAAGACGCGGGATGAGTTCATCGCCGCCCTCCTCAAAAGCGGAGTGAGTTTCTTCCTTCAAACGCCTTTCTTCCAAAACAACATCCATCTCTCTCCGCTGCATTACCACAGCTAATGCCTCATAGTCTAGCTGGGGCTTACCTGTTGCTGCTGATACCGGCGCACCTCGCACGATATGGCGCACATTCACCGTCGAGCAGAGTGCTGCTATCAAGGCCGCCATCAAGACGCAGCTTGGTCCAAATTACACCGTCACTCACCTCGGCCACGCCGCCATGGTCCTTGCCCTGCTCCGTGCCCGGCCTCTCCCCGCCGACGTCTCGGATACGGTCGTCCTTGCCTCGCCGCTGCCCGTGAACGGCAGACGTTACCTTCGCGGCGACGCGGCGCAGCGCTATGGCTCGTGCCAGGCCGGCGCCTCAGTTGAGTTCGCACCGTTGCGCGAGTGGACCGTAGATGAGAGCAATGCCGATGCCGTGCGGACTACGCTGGGGGCGCTGGCAACGCACGTCAAGGACGGCTATGAGTATTGGCTACGAAATGAGTTTCAGCTCGCCGTCGACCAGGCCAAGGGCAATTTTCTCGCAAGCGTGCTCGGGTCGTACGTATTTTCTTATGTCAATGTTTGATCACTGGGTGCACCGGCTGACGCGGCGTGTAACTGATTAGTGCACCGCCATCGTTCCCGCCTACTAGCTTTCCGGTCCGTATCTTGTCCTCCAGACCATTTTCCTCAATATGGCGGATATTTGTATTCTGACATTACGCTTCTCTTGCAGGTCTTTGCCAGCGACGGCATCGTGGACAAGTACATCCCTAGAGAGGTATTCGGCGCGGGCGAAGAGAAGCTCCTCGTTGTGGAAAGCTGCTTGTTTCACCTGGATACTTATCTCTCCGACGTGTGAGTACATGTGTTCCTCATAGTCTTTGAAAGTCCCAATGATTTGGCTTGCACCTGTTGCCGGCAACATGCTAACCACTACACCTTGCATAGGCTCGTCAGGATGGACAGCTGGAAGGGCGCCACGGGGCTGTCCATTTGCTTCAATGACGGCCGCTTGAACGCGACGCTTGCAGATCAATTTCTTGGCTACATTGTAGAGTTCATGCTGAAGTTCGCGGAGCAGTAATTGGAGCTTATCTTACATGGAACGTTGTCGAAAGAAGGTGATGGCGCTGGCCGGTGTGAGATGCTGGACACTATCGTCCTAGACATGTAGAATACACACGAGCATAAAATAA